ACACACAAATAGAATGTGGGACCTTATCCAGAGAAGCAGCAGCACCAGAGATGGAGGCACAGATGGGGGCATGGAGAGGGGGAGCAGCTGAGGACTCTAGATTCATCAATTAAGAAGAGAAAGACTAAGAACTGGTGGCCAGGAGCAGATCTGCAGAATGTGCCCTTTGGAGATGTAAATTATTTTATATGCCTGAGTGGGGTTTTTTTTTATGTGTTTTTTAAGAAGCTAAAGTGGATAGAGAGAAATACTCTTAACTGATGGTATATGGAGGGGATTATAATCAGTGTAATGAAACAAGTTATATGAATGGTTGAATGTGAAACTGATGATGTGCACTGTAAACTTTTACTCAATCCACAATAAAAACCTTAAATTAAAAAGAAAAAAAAAGATGGGGATAAGATTTTTATGATTCAATAGTGAGTAACTGTTATCATGACTAACTGGAACTGTCATAATTGTAAAGGTACAAATTTTGTAACAGAAACTAGGGAGTAGTTAATCTTACAGTCCAGAAACAGAGGATCCTAGGACCATCAAGGGAGAAGAGCACAGCAGAATGTGGGACCCTATCCAGAGAATCAGTAACACCAGAGAGGCAGAGATAGGGACATACATAGAGGGAGCAGCTGAGGACTCTAGATTCATGGAAAGAGAGGGACTGAGAGCTGGCAGCCAGGAGGCAGACTTGCAGAATATGCCCTTTGGTAGTTTAAATTATTACATATGCTTTACGGTTTGGAGAAAAAAAAAAAAAGCTAAAATGAATAGAGAGAAATACTGTTAACTGATGGTCCATGGAAGGGATTGTAATCATTGTAATCAAACAAGGTGTATGATTTGTTGAATGTAAAACTGATGATCTGCCCTGTAAACTTCCACTCAATCCACAATGAAAACATTAAAAAAAAAATGTATTTAGAAATTGGGCTGGCAATGAGGCTAAGGGGAAGGCAAGGACAAACCTGAGGAGACATTCAAGTCAAAGACCAGAGAAGATGATGAGGCTGGGGACAAGGATGAGGGCGGGCCAGTGGTGAGGAGGGGATGAAGCTAAGGTAGAATATGAAATCTAGGTCAGGGGGAAAATTGATGTCAAGACAGTGAACAGTCAAGGTTGTGGCCCAGGTCAAGGACCATGTAGGTTTTGTAGTCAAGGTTGGAGTCAAGATAAAAAATGGGACTTAGGCTCAAGTTTAAAAAAAAAAAATCAGATTAAGATAGAGGTCAAGTCAAAGGCCAAGACATATGGTTACAGTCCATGCCAGTAATGAGTAGACTATGTTGTTGTTGTGTTGTGAAGTGCTGTTGAGTCGGTTCTGACCCATAGCAACCCTGTATAGGGTTTCCAAGGAGCAGTTGGTGAACTTGAACTGCTGACCTTGCGGTTCAAATGGCTTTGCAGTCTGGTGCATTAACCCACAGAGCCACACTAGGACTCCAGCCACACAAGGACACCAGGACTATAGCCACAGTCTAATCATTGACAGTCAAGGTTGGAACTGTAGTCAAGGAGAATATTGGGGACAAGAGCAAAGTTGAGGTCAGCATAAGGTACTGGGTTGGGGGTTGAGGCTGCTATCAGGAATCACGTCAGGGTCCAGGTTAAGACTGAGACCTATATCAGAGTTGAGCTGAAAGTAAAGTCAGGTTTAAATAGAGTTTAAGGTCAAGGTCAAGGTTAAAGTATAGCGGGCAAAGATGAAGTCAAGAATCAGGTTCCTAATGAGATCAAATCAAGGATGATGCCCAGCTCAGTATCCAAGTCAAAGCTAGGTCACAGGTCAGATTTAAGGTGAAGTTAAGGACTAGGTAAGGCTAGAGGTCTAACATCAGGGGCCAGGTCAAGATGAGGTTGATGCTAACAATCAAGTCAGTGTTGTCATCAACACTGGGGATCAAGGACGAGACAGAACAAAACCAAATGTCCATCCAAAGATGAAAGAATAAACTGTGGTATAGTCATACAATGGAACGCTCTGCAATAACAAAAAAATGAATGGGCTGTAGATACTTTCAACAACACAGATAAATCTTCCATTCTTATGGAACTCTAAGATAGACAAACCAATCTTTGTGGTAAATGCCTTGGAATCCATTCAGACCCATAGCGACCCTACATAGGGTTTCCAAGGATCAGCTGGTGGGTCTGGACTACCAACCTTGTGGTTCAAACCAACCTTACGGCCCAGTGCCTCCAGGACTCCACACTAATCTAGAATAGAAACAAAAACCTGCAACAGTGATTGCCTGAGGTAGAAGAGAGGCCTGATGGGGAAGCGGCGTGAGGAAACTCGCTGGTTGAATGATGGTAATGTTCTATATCTTATAACGGTCGGAATTACACAGGTGTGTGCATTTATCTAAAACTCATCACCCACACCTATGGATGCAGTAGCTCAAAAGAGGGAACAAATCTTTACAGCGAGAATCATTCCCACCCCCTCCATACGCAGAGTAGACAGGGATGGGCAACTTGGACATTGGCTACCCAAAGTTGGGGGTGGGGGGGGGAGAGACTACAAAGACAAGAAGTGACTGGCTTACAAGCTTTCAAGAGGGAGCCTAGATCCAAAAAAAAAACCCACCCAAAACTCATCAATTGGTACCTTTAAAATCTGTACATTTCACTGTATATAAATTTTACCTCATAAAGGAAAAAGAAGAACCAAACACAAAAGCTGGTGTGTAGTTAATGGTGTACTTTCTGATGTATGTAAGGGTAAAGCGTACCCCAGTGTGCAGCTTGCTTTGAAATGCTAGATGGATTCAGGATACGTAGATAGGTAGAAACGTGATCAAGCAAATAGAGCCAAATACTCGTATAGAATGTAGATATTGACTATACCGGTGATGACTAACATTTTCAATTTGTCTATATTTCAAAATGCTTGCAATAAAATGTTGATAAAGTAAGAATGAGGTGAAGAGGTTGCTCGGGTTTGCTTTCTCCAAGCCCAGTAACAAGCGATCCCCCATGTCTCACTGCCTCCCCCAGGCTCTTGTCTGTGGCCTCACCATGGCGGTGATCTCATTAAAGGACTGCAGGTTCTCCACAATGCGGGACTTGTGCGCGGGCTCCACTCGGGCGAAGCAGCGGGCTGTCTGGCAGGCGTGGCGCTGCTGCTCAGGGCTGAGGTCATCAAATTCACGGCCTGTGTATGCCTTGTCCATCACGTCCTCTGTGTCCCCAAAGATGCCAAGCCGGCGACAAATGGCCACGGCTGTGCCTTTGTTGTCACCTGTGATCATGACCACGCGGATACCCGCCTGACGACAACGGGTGATACAAGCAGCCACTTCGGGCCGCGGAGGGTCCAGCATGCCCACACAGCCCACGAAGGTCAAGTCCGTCTGTAGGGAGAGGGTAGATGCCTACATCTCGGGTAGACCCGAGAATATCTTCAACCTACTACCTGCCCAGCGTCTGCGGGGGTGCATGGCCCACACCCCGACACCCACCCTGGCACCCACCTCGTACTGCTCAAACTTGCTGCAGTCGTCCAACTGCATGTCCTCCTTCTTTGGAGGCACATCCCGAGTGGCCAGTGCCAGGCAGCGCAGCGTGTCTGAGCCTGAGCCCCAATCTCGGATCTTTGCCAGGATTTGCTCCCTGGCGGTGGTGTTCAGGGGTACTTTGTGGCTCCCCACACGAACTGAGCTGCAGCGCTCAATCACGCTCTCTGGAGCCCCCTGCAGAGGGGGGACAGCATGGGGGGGACACTGTCAGTCACAACTCCCCTCTCATCCTGCCCCACTGAGAAAATGGAAGCCCAGAGATAGAAAAGATCCCTCAAGGCCAAGCCCAGAATCTGCCATAAGACAGTTCAGAGTAGGAAAGTCCTCTGTGAGAAAACCTAAAGGAGAGGGGGCCGAAAGGTGGGCACAAGGTCTGCTGTAGCCTTTGGGGGTGGGGGTAAAGGTGGGTATGACATTTCTCCTGCAGCCCTGACTCCCTGGGCTACTGGGATTCCACGTCTGTGGGGCTTGGGGACCAGACACAGGGTCCTGAAGAAGAGGTGAAGGGGGTGGTTTTAGGTAAACGGGCCCAGAGGAGACAGGCTCCTTGGAGATTCAGTCTCACCTGGGACTCCACCCCAGGCCTGAAAAAGCCACTACCTCTGACCACTTGATCAATGACTTTTCCTTTTCTCAAAAGGTAAGCCCAGATGGTGGTTTTTTAAAGTGGTCCAAGCACTAACGCAAGAACCTTTTCATTTTGAAAGGGGTTAAAACCTCCACTGCATGTTGGAGTCAGGGTTATGATTTCTAGTTTGGGTTTGGAAGCAGCAACAGGAGGGGCTGCGGACAAAGGTCTGGGTGGGAGCTGATTTCTTTCCCTTCCCTGGAGTCAGTTTCCAAAACACAGAGCATCCGATGGACACCAAGCGCTTCACACCACTGGTCAAAGGCAAAAGGGCTGCTGAGAGCTCCCGGCCTGACCCCATCATTTAGATAGGGAGACAGAAGCTCACAGAGGAGCAGAAATGACCCCAGGCTCCTGGTCTAAGGCCCCTGGCCTTGCCTCCATCTCTACCAGGCTTGGATCCTGTTCCCACTTCCCCGTGGCAGGCTGCCCATACTCATTTTGTTTTAACAGTGGGGTCTCAACTCCCACAGCTGTAATCTCTGGTGATTCAATGTTTTGGTAACCATGCCCCCAGGTCCTGGGTGTACAGGGGCCCCAAGCCAGCCAGCTAGGCCCCCACCTTCACAAACATCTTGCTGCCCTGGGTGGCTGAGCCTGGGCGGGTGGATGTGCAGTACACTGACATGGACTTCCGGTCCCGGGAGAACTCCAGGGTGAACTCCTTCCGCATCAGCTGCTTGATGACCTGTAGGTCCAGGCAAGGTCAGGGTGGGGGGCAAAGCCAGGTCCTCTGTCTTCTCCCTCACCAGAAGCACCTCTCACCTCCCTGCACGATAATATCTACACTCCTCTGACTCTGGCCTTCAAGGCCTCTACTTTCCTCTCTAGTCTGAGAGATGCTGGAAAGCTACCATTTCCTGAGCCTGACCATGCTCTGGACTTCCTCTTCTAAGCCTTTTCCGCCTCCTCGCTCCCTGGCTAAGTCTTACTAGGAATCTGAAGTCCTGCCTCCTCCCAGAGGTCCCCCAAGACGTGGTCCTCCTCTCTCTCTTCTCCAATGCCCCGCCTGCAGCCTCACCGTGTTGCAGGCGCCAGCTCGTTCCACCCGGGACAGTGCCTGCAGGTCCATGTCAAACACGTTCATCTTCTCCACCAGGCAAGTCAAAGCTGTCTCTGTGGCCTCTCCCACTTTCTCGTACACGCCCTTGGCCTGGTGGGATCCAGGAAACAGGGAGTGAGGGGCAGGGCAGCCCCTAGACAGGCCCTCCGGTCTCACCTCCCACTCACTCCCTGTCCTGTGGAGCACCCTTAGCCAGAGTGACACATAAGTTCCTCTGCACCAAAGCTGGTGGGCCCTTCCCAATCCGCTGACCTTCCCTTCCCCTCATATCAATGGCCTTGTACCCTCCCAGCTCTCCTCACCTCTGTTCACTCCAGCCCCTGCCCCCTGCCACCCACCCTCTCTCCCTGGTGCTGTGGGTTAATGCGCTGGGCTGCAAAGTCGGTTTGAACTACAAGGTTGGCGGTTCAAGCTCAACAGTGCTCCTTGAAAACCCTACACAGGGTCGCTATGAGTCAGAACTGGCTCAACAGCATTTAACAACAACAACAACAGACTCTCTAACTCTCTACCCCATACCAAAACCCCAGTTTGGCCTTGGTCTACCTCACTCTCGCCTGGTCAGTACACAGGACCCCTTGATTCCAGCTCTGTTCTTTCCCCACAAGGAAGCTTGGTGGAGCCTTTGTAAATGCAAAGCTGACCATGCCATGCCTCCCCAGTCCCAATCTAAGGAGATGTAGTAGTGGTGCCACAGGGCTGCTAACCGAAAGGTTGGCGGTTCAAACGCACCAGCAGCTCCACAGGAGAAAGATAAGGCAGTCTGCTTTCATAAGTTTAGTCTTGGAAATCCTATAAGACCATTTTCCTCTGTCCTAGAGGGTCACCGTTGAGGTGGAATCAACTCAACGGCAACCGCTTTGGGTTTGCTTGTTGTTTTTGGCATTTTTGGTAAACCTCTACCACCTCAGGGGGCCCTGACTCTTCAGTCCCAAAGAAAGCCTGAGGAAAAACGGAGGAAGCATGGGAGATGTTCATGGGGTGTCCGTGGCACTCCAATGGAGCAGAAAGGGCCAATCTTTGGGGCTTTGAAACAATGGGAGAAGGGTCTGTCTTGGGTGCTCAGATACTAAGGGAGGTCGTGAAAAGGACTAGGATCCCACCTCATTGTAGTCCAGCGCAGAGTCATTGCACAGAGCACAGATGGTCGCCAGCTCCACCAGCCCGTCGAACTGCCCGCAACGAACGAGCTTTTCTCCCTGCCGCCTGCAGAGCCCAGGCGGTCAGTTCCAGGGTCCCGCCCCTCGCCCCGGAGGCGCTCTATCTCCCGGACACCACTCAGTGCTCTCCCGCGCGACCCCGCCCACGATAAACCCCGTCCCCTCGACCCAACTCACACTTCGCCCTCGGGGGCATATGTGGTACCCGAGATGGTGAATTCGTACAAATGGCAGGAGTCGGCCTTGGCCTCAGCCACCACGAACATCTGGGAAGCCAAGGACATGTTCAGGGTCAACTGGGTCACCTCTCCTCAGGGTAGCCAATCTAAATAACTGATTCTGGGGTGGGGCCATGCAAGGTTGCCCTAGAAACCACTGACACCACCCCCCACCCCCAGGGTCCACGGAGGCGTGGTGTAGAACTGTGCTAGGCTGTGGATTTGTCTGTTTGCTCTGAACCTGGAGGGGTTCGTGACAGATTCTTCAATGCTTTCTAGCAGGTGATAGAGCCCTGAACAGGGACAGGAAGCTAGTCTTTGTCCCAGTCCTGCGGAGCACCTGAGCCTCAACTCCTCTAGGGAGTGAGATCAGAATCCAGGTGTTCCCACACTCCCTTCCAGGGAAACCTATACCCCACTCTGGGGCACGGACCTTTCCTACCCAGAGGTGACCCCAGAGGTTAAGCTCCTGATGGCAGGACCGCTGGAGCCCGAGGGGGCTCACTTCCTCCCAGGGCAACCCATTTTCTTGTCAGTTTCCTGGGAACTGCCTTGCTGTACATGGCCATCCCAGCCCCCAGTTGCTGTTAAGTGTTATCAAGTCAGTTCCAACTCATAGCGACCCTGTCCCATACAGGGTTTCCAAGGAGCGGCTGGTGGGTTTGAACCGCCAACCTTGCACCTAGTAGGTGCTCAACAAACAAGTTCCCCTTTCTCTTCTCTCTCCTGCTCCTGAAAGGTTGTTGTTGTTGTTGTTGTTGTTGTTAAGTGCCATCGAGTCGGGTCCGACCCATAGCGACCCTGTACAGGGTTTCCGAGGGTGTAAATCTTTACGGGAGTAGAAAGCCTCATCTTTCTCCCACGGAGCGGCTGGTAGTTTCGAACCGCTGAACTTAAGGTTCGCAGCCCAATTCGTAACCACTACGCTACCAGAGCTCCTTAGTAGTTCCCCAGTAAGTACAGCCCTGAACAGTCAAGTTTCTCAGTCCAGCATGCAGCAACTAAGCCCTCTATAACTTCCCTAGGATGTGCTTTCCAGGGCGTTACTGAAGCCAAGGAACATTTTGTTCGAATAAGGTTCCAGTGGTAGTTCGAGTTGGGCTGCTAACCACAAGGTCAATAGTATAAATCTACCAGTCAGTCCACAGGAGAAGATGAGGTGTTCTGCTCCCATAAAGATTTACATACAGCCTTGAAAACCCTGTACAGGGTCTCTATGAGTCAGAAGCGACTTCACGGCACACAGCCGCCATCACTACCAGGGATATTGCAAGGTCACCGCTCCTCAGGAGAAAGATGTAGATTTACAGTCTCAGAAACCCTACATAGGGCTATGAATCGGAATCAACTCGGTAACAGCGGGTTTGGGTTTTGATTGAGGAATTTTGCAGAGCTCTGGGTTGTAGGGCAATAAAGCTTGTGGTACCCTTGCCCCTGCAGCCTCTGATGGACTACGTACATGAAGCCCTAAGATTCAGAACACAAAGCCCAGTTCTAAGGCCTCCCAGCTGGCAGACTGTATGAGACGAGGTGGGAAAGGAGCCATGGGGGAGTGGTAAACCCACAATCTTTACCATCACCCCACCCACCTCTCTGCTGAGGCGGGAGAAGCCAGAATCCCTGAATATGTGGGCAATGAGCCCGGCATGTGGGATCGAACACTAGGGAGTAAATAATTCCTGCGGGGGCCATTCTTAGGTCAGCAGAGCTGACAGATCTGGAGGCAGCAGGACAGAACCTGGGCCCAGCCCCCACGTGGCTCAGACACCAAGGTTGGACTCCACCCTCTCCTGTGCCTTAATGGTTAACTGGCAGGGCTTGCATACCCAAGTTTCAGATGAGGAAACTGAGGTTCAGAGATGGTCAGTGACCTGCCTGGGCCCCACAGGCTCTGTCTTTAGCTCCATGAAACCTCTACCATGGGATGGCCCACAGGTTGTCTCTTCCATACTGGGTCAAACAGGAAGTCAAGGAGAGGCCCAGATAGGGAGCCCAGTTTGCCCAGCATCACACAGCACCACCAGCTGGCTGTGGCCACTCACCCGGCAGACAGACATCTGGTTGGTAGTGAGTGTGCCAGTCTTGTCGGAGCAGATAACTGATGTGCAGCCCAGGGTCTCCACAGAGGGCAGACTCCGCACGATGGCGTTCTTGCGTGCCATGCGCCGTGTGCCCAGAGCCAGGCATGTAGTGATGACAGCCGGGAGGCCCTCAGGGATGGCGGCCACAGCCAGGGCCACAGCAATCTTGAAGTAGTAGACAGCACCACGGAGCCAGGAACCACCATGAGCTGGGTCGGCAAAGTGGCCGATGTTGATGACCCACACAGCCACACAGATCACGGAGATGGCTCGGGACAGCTGCCGCCCGAACTCATCCAGTTTGCGCTGCAGTGGCGTCCGCTCCGGCTCCACGGCCGCCATCTGGCTCCGGATCTTACCTAGCTCTGTGTGCAGGCCTGTGGCCACCACCACACCCACTGCTTTGCCCGATGCAATGTTAGTGCCCTGTTAGAGTGAGGGTCCAAGGAAGAGCTGCTTACACTGCGGCCAGAACCCAGGACCCCTGCCTCTCACGTAACAATGTGTCAGCTGTATGAGGACAGGGCTCTGGTTCACCAAGTGTCACCCATGCCCGGTCCCCCAACCCATCAGTATGACTTGTCAACAATCAATATGGCCACGTGGGAGCATTTGGTGATCAACAGTCTTATCGATATTCACTAGCAGATCCAGAAACCCTGAGCCTAAAGAGCCCCCCTGCCCAGGCTGATGGAAGGGACAGCCAGCCTTGATCTGTTTCCTCCTCCGTAAAGTAGGCCAGCAGAGGCCCAAGACACAGGGGCCCCAAGGAGGCTGTTAATTCAGTGCCACTTGTGATGGATGCACCACGGGTGGTGGGGAGAAGGCAGGTGTGGGGGCAGCCTCAGCCTGTCTTCTCCACCTTCTCACTGCCTTCCACCTGCCAAAAACCCCTGAGAGAGAGAAAGGGCCTGTAGTTGGCCAGCCCATCCTCCTTAGAAGGCTTTTTCAGGGCAGCTGGTGACACTGAAATATACCATCCCTACCCAAAGCAGTTTCCTGTCTGTGAAAGGGATTATTCCCATCTGCCCCCACTTCTACAACCCTCTTCCCTCTGAAGGAGGAGTCCTGGTGGTACAGTGGGTTAAGCCTTGGCCTACTAACTGCAAGGTCAGCAGTTCAAACCCACCAACCGCTGCTCTAGGGGAGAAAGCTGAAGCTGTCTGCTCCCATAAAGATTTACAGTCTCAGAAACCCTAAGGTTCAGTTATACTGTGGGTTTCTATGAGTTGGAAATGACTTGATGCCAGTGGGTTTGGGTTTAGTTTCTGTGGAGAACTTTCTCCTGGGTGGTTACAGGCAAGCTCTTCCTCTTTCCGGATCATGAGGGAAAACTTTGGAGAATGTCTGAGTTCGCGTCTCAGCTCCATCACTCACTGCCTCTGCAACCTTGGGCAAGTCACTTAACCTCCCTCTGCCTGCTGGAAAATACGGATAGTAAGAGGGCTTATTTCAAAGGTCTGTGATGAAGACTCAAAAAAGGAATAAGTATCAAGGGCTTAGAACTGGCCCACAGTCCTCACTCAGTAAGCACGTGCTATTATTATTATAATACATTTGTATGTATTGTCAATAATTGATGAGGTGCTGAGTTTCCTGTGGGACTTAATCGATTTAACTTTAATGATACTATCTATTGTTGCTCGACTCAGGCCCAGGCATCCAGGGACTTACAGAAAACAGCATGTTCTTCTTGTCCTGATTCACAGCCCTGGGGTCTGGGATGGCATCTGTGTGCTTGGTCACAGACACAGATTCACCTGGCCATGGAATAAAAATGAGAAACACCATGCAGAGATGTCCAGTTCTCTTGCCTTACCCCCACCCGGCCTCCACAGCTCACCGGTCAGGATGGACTGGTCCACTCGCAGTGTAGTAGACTTGATCTCGATGAGGCGGAGGTCAGCAGGCACTTTGTCCCCAACTGTGGAGGAAGGAAAGTCTGGCTGAGTGTGAGGCTTTGGGTACTACCCCTCTGAGAGCCAGGAGGGCTCCCAGGAACCACAGCTGCCCCACCCCACCCCCCGAGTCCGATCCCTTAGGAGTCCCCCTGCACTCCAGGCCTCAGTCTTTGCTTGTACAATGGGGTTGGAACCATGGTGGACCCAACAGTCACCCTCTGAGTATACAGCTGAAAAGTGGAGGCACAGAGAAAGGTGGGATCACCAGTGTCACAGAATAAGAGGGGGAGCCCCCGGCGCACCCGCCACTTCCACGATGTCTCCAGGAACCATGTCCCGGGCACGGATCCTCTGCACACCCTTGCGGTCCGAGCGGATCACCTTGCCCATCTCAGGCTCATATTCCTTCAGGGCTTCGATGGCACTCTCAGCGTTGCGTTCCTGCAGAACCCAAGGTGAGCAAGTGATTTGTCCCTGCTGTCCCTCGCAGGCCACCCCCTCAGAGTGATGATACCCTCAGGATCTGTGGTGGAGCTGAAGCAGAACACACAGGGAATCCTAGCACCAGCCAGAGGTCACAACTAGCGGCTGGGAGGTCCCAGGGTCCTGGTCCTACCCCATAGCTGCCCACCTGCCACACGCCCACAATTGCATTGGCCACAAGGATCAGCATGATGACCAGGGGCTCCACGAAGGCAGTCACGGTCTCTTCGCCCTCCTCGAACCAGGCCAGGACCTGCCAGGATCGGAGCCGGTGAGTTAGAGCTACGCTGTGGGCAGGACCTGGTCACCTTTCCCTATGCACCTCCTGGCTGCCTCTTGGCTGTGCAGGAGATGCCCTGGGAGCCCTGGGCGGCTCAGAGAAGGTCTTGGCTTACAGAACACTCAGCTTCCTCAAACAGTGACCCACACAGGCCAGCCTTCAGGGACATGGGACAGCTACACAACCATCAGCTGGAGATCCCAAAGTCTACCTAGAACAATGTGGGATTCCCATCACCTGGGAACTTGATAGAAATGCAATTCTAGTGGCTCATCCAGCCCTGCTGAATCAGAAGCTCAGGGGTGGGCTCAGCACCGGTGTTTCAACAAGCCCAGGTGGTCTGTGCCCTGTCACGTTTGAGACCACCTTCACAAAGCAGCTTTGTTCCAGACCTAGAGCCCAGGTGCCTAGGCTGGGAGGCAGGAGACCCAGTTTGAGTCCCATTTCTACCTCTGGCCCAAAGGGATACTTGTCATTCCTCCTCCACGAAGTCATATGCCCGCCTGTACAGGGAAAGGGTAGAAGCATCCTGTCGGGTCAGCGGTTTTAGGCTATAAGTCCCCAGTTCCCACAAGGAGGGTCAGACACAGCTGGCTGGGCCCCTGCTGACTGGATGCTGAGAGTCCCACGTGGGGCCACTGCTGTCCCATGCTTTCAGCCCACCCACCAAGATGAGGTCTCTTCCTCAAGTCCTGCTGGGTGGGTGGGGCCAGGAACCAGAACCATGTCTACCCGCAGGGCAGCCTGGACAAGACCCTGAGTTCCATCTTGGTCTCCCATGGGTCCAGGAGGCATCTGGGCACCAGAATTGGGGAAGAGCAAAGGGGAGCAGCAGTCAAGAGGAGGTCACAAAAAGTTAAGGTCTCAATGCTGGAGATGGTATTCCCACATGGGCAACTGGATGGCTGGAGACAGTTTTGTTATGACCAGGGGGTACTGTGGCATCTGGGTAGCAGAGGTCAGGAATACTTCTAAACCTTCTACATGCACACGCAGCCCTGCAAGGCGGCCAAGGATTGCTGGGTCCAAAAGTTAGCAAAAGACTGATGAGCTAAGACAAGGGTAGAGAGGTAGGAGATCCCACGTGTGCTTTTGAAAGCTCACTCTGACAACCAGGGTGCAAGAGGGACTGGTGGAGCACTGGTGTGTGTGTGGGTGGGGTGGAGGGCAGATGGTGGCCAGGAGTCCAATGAGAGGGTCTGCAAGGGTACAAGTAAGGGAAGCCCAGGTCTTAGTAGAGCAGGGGGGTGGGTAAGACCAGGGAACAGGCTTAGGGATGCCCACAGCTGAGAGGACAGCTCTGTGCCCCAGAGCACTAGGACCTGAGTCTCCCTCCTGGCTGCCCACGCTGAAGGGACTATAGGCTACAGTGAGTAGGGCCCTACTTACGAAGGAGACCAGGGCAGCCAGCAGCAAGATGCGCACCAGGAGGTCCTCAAACTGCTCCAGCACCAGCACCCACAAGGACTTCCCTGGGAATGGGAGCGCCGTGTGAGGCCTGGGCCTCTGACCCACTACCCCTCCCATTCTGAGACCAACCAGCCACCTCCCTCCTCGCAGGTGGAAGAGGGAATTCAAAGACCCCCAGGACCCTCCAGGCACACAGCCCAGCCTGCAGACTGCCCACCCAAGTCTCTCACCTTCCTCAGTTGGGAGCTCTACAGGATCCAGGCAGGCATGGGGCCCATGAGGAGACAAGAAACGTATGGGTTATGCAGGGGCCTTGGAGATGTCTGGATAGCCCCTCCCCACCGTGCCCACCCAGATCCCCAGGATGGTCTGCAAGGGTCACCACAGCTCTCTGAGGTCACTCCACCTCACAACAGACCGTTTGAGCCTAGATGCTTCCAGCCCCCTACCCTACCCCACCCCACTCTGACTGAGGAAGGTTGGGTGTGGCCTAGCCCACCTTGGGACAAAACCAGGGCTAGGAGAGTCCTTCCATTATAGCTCCCTTCCCATTGCAGAGGGTAAACTGAGACCTAGAGGAGGGAGGAGATGATCTCACAGTTCCCCCATCACTGTCCTTCTTCAGTCGTCACTGTCCTTCTTCAGCCGGCCATCCAGTCAATGTGCTCCACCCCCACTGCAAAGTGGCCTCTCCCTCTGTGTGGGGCTCAAACGACTCCAGGCTAACGGAGTCCCCGGGTGGTACTGATGAACTCAACTGGATACTAACTGGAAGGTTGGTGGTTGGATTCCACCCAGAGGTGCCTTGGGAGAAAGACCTGGCTATCTACTTCTGAAAAATCAGCCACTGGAAATCCTATCAAAAACTAACTTTGCAGAGCCTAATATTTTTATTCTATCATCTATATTTTTTATTCATTAAAATCATGATACTTCTATAGTAGGTTTGGAAATCACTGACAATAGCAAATGAAACATTCCTTGAAAAGAAGGAAAGAAAACTCTATGGAGCACAGTTGTACTATGACACTCACAAGCCGCCCAGAGAGGCGAGGGGGAGGAGAATCAATAGCCACTGGTTTACTCACAGGGCCTTGGACATCCTGCTGCTCTGGAACCACCTGAGCAAGGTCTGCAGTCAAGTTAGTCCTCGGAACCTCATCCTACCCAGGGGCAGCCAGCATCCCTTTCAGTGAGGAACACTTGCATGGTTGCATCTTTGGGGGCTGGGCCTCAGCTTACCTCTCCTAAATCCTCTATAGGGTAAAGTCAGCAAAGACGCCTTGCAGCTCAGCCCCACCCCCACACAGCATTCTGAACTTTGAAAACATCAGTAGAACCTGGCAGGACTTTACAGGCAAGTTTGACCTTTATGCTTCCCGAAGTTCCTTTTATACCAGGTTGACTGGTACCTGTATCTGGTGGCCTTGGGTAACTGATATCTTTGAATCATCCCAACACTTAAGAGGAGGCGTGGCAGGAGCCATGGACTTGTTTCATAAATGGGAGCAGGAGGCTCATTGTGGAGAATTGGCTTGAACAAGGTCACATGGCAAGGTAAGTGTGCCTCTGGGACTGTGGGAAGGGCCAGACCAACAGGATGGTCTTTAACAGGCTACCCCCTGTCCCAGTGAGCTCTTCCAACCCAGGATGAAGGCTAAGTGAGCCCCATTCTGTCTGCTCCACCTCTTTTCCCAAAGAGCAGTCTCCAGCAGCATGCACATCACCTGGGAGCCTGCAGGAAATACAGAATCCAAGACCCCAGCTCAGTTCAGTGTTCTCTTCCTCCTCCTCACACGAGGATGCACACAGGTATCTGATCTACCCGCTTTTGCCATGTACTAAGAAGCATTTTTTCCCGTGGGAGTCTGCTCCCAGACCACTGTTTAGAAGGTCTGGGATCTGCACCTGGCAGCTGAACCATGGAGAATATTGAGTAGTCCACTGGGCTGCAGGAATCCAGGAGGGAAACATTTAACCTAAAAATACACTTTCTAGCATTTTCTCCAAAGTCCTATTTTAGGCCGCAGCTGACATTTTCCGTGGAAAATGTAATCTCCAGTGTCCTGCGTCGAGATTAAAATCAAACAGACTTTTTCCTTCTGATCTATTTAGCTGAAGCGAACAGGAAAGGCAGGGGGAGGAGGCAGGCCTGCTTTCTGGGCTAATTCTCCAATGGAGTACGGTCCTTTTGAGGTCATATCAGTCATGCTCCAGTCTCAGTACTGAACAGAGTCAACCTCACAACACACGTGACACAGCCTGCTTCTGCCGTGCTTTACCCAAGAGATTTCCCAAATCCTTACAGTTCATCTGTGAATCTCACCTGAATCTCACCTGAATCTCCCTTGCTGTTTTCCCCTACCAGGCATACAGCCCCTGTAACTACATTCCTTACGGCATTGCTTCTGGGCAGAGTTGAGGTCAGCCAGGCGCTAAGGTATAATCAGATGCCCTGCTCATCCCTGTGCAGGATACACGGCAAGGTTCCAATATTACCTAAGCAGCAGCTCTCTGAAGGGCTTCAGGCAGGTAGCTCAGCCTCCCTGAGCCTCATTTGGAAGAAGGGGCACCCAGGTCTACCTGGAAGGGCTGTCAACATTATTAGGAGTCATGTTTATTGAGCATGTACTATATCCTGAGCAATGTGCCAGGCGCTTTACCTACAGTCTCTCTAGAGAACCAACGGGAAAGAGTTATGTACTGAGCCGATGAGGAGGGGCTCAGAAGACATAATGATAGCAAGCGACAACTAGTGTTAGTTGTGCACCAGCCAATGTGCTAACTCCATGTATAAGTCTCATCATAATTCAAATAATCCAAGGAGGACACAATTAAGATCCCATTTTATAGAGGAGACGATGGAAACACAGAGAGGTTAGGTAACTAGCTCATGGTCACACAGCTGGGAAGTAGCCGGGCAGGGTTTGGAATTCAAGGAGTCTGGCTCAGGATCCCCCGATCTGACTTCAAATCTGTCCTATTTTCCTTCCTCTGTCCCCTCTGCTGTCCTGAATCTAGGTCAACTGAAAAAAGTGGCATCCCTTGTCCTGATTGTCGGGCTGCTATAACCTCATCCCAACAGCTGGTCAAACCGTCCTGCCCCAAAGCTGCCAACTCAAATCATCCCCGTTCAGAAAGGTTCTGCTCTTCTCACAGGTGACGTCACCAGACTGTGAAATCGAGGATGGGCTGACATGGTGGCTGCAAAAATGGGCTTAAACAGACCAGACAGATGAGGCTGGGACAGGACCTGACAATGCTTTGTTCTAGTCTCCATAAGGTGGCCATCAGTCAGAGCTAACTGGTCAGCATTCAACAGTGACCAAGGCCCTGTGCTTCAACCTCACCAAGTCCTGCGAGACAAAACTCTCCCCTCACATTAAATGAGCCCCAAGGTCCTCAAGGGAGCCCAGGGCCTAGAAGAGATCCCCCCCAACCCCATCCCCAGACATGCCTGGAAGATAACGGTGCATGGAAGGCAGAGCTGGTTCCCTGGACGTGGGGGCACTGACTGGGCCCACATCTGCCCACCCTGGTCCAGCTGCTCCATTTGTTAAATTCATAGCACTGCCACCACTGGGCTGCCCAGGGCACAGGCAGTAAGGAGGTGCTACTCCCTCCAGATCCATGGCTGGACCAGCCTGGGTGCGGGCAGTTCTCACCGCTCTTGTCTGAGCCTCTGCGACCCACTTCTGTTCTGGGTCACTATGGCTCCCGTCGATGCCCATTGTGGGGCTGGTCTGAAGGAGCCTGGAACTGTTATCAGAGAAGTTCAGGGCTTAGAGCAACGAGTCTGGTCCAGAAAAGCTTGCGTTCAAATCCTACTCTATCTCTTGGTACTTATGTTGTTGTTAAGTGCTGTGGAGTCAGTTCCGACCCATAGTGACCCTGTACAGGGTTTCCGAGGCTGTAAATCTTTACAGGAGCAGAAAGCCTCATCTTTCTCCCGTGGCACAGCTGGTAGTTTTGAACTGCTGACCTTAAGGTTCGCAGCCCGATTCGTAACCACTCGCTACCAGAGCTCCATGGTAGTTATGTGTCTAGGGGCAAATCACTAAAATCCCTGAGTACCTCAATTTCTCTATCTGATAAGTGAGAATAATAGTGGTAACTACAGCATAAGGAGTTCTGGTGTGGCGCTGTGAGATAACGCACTGGACCGCAAGGGCTGCAGTTCAAACTCACCAACCAAAGGGTTGCTATGAGTCGGAACTGACTCGATGGCACGTAACGACAACAACATGGCATAAGGTGGCTATGAAGATGAAATGACTCTGACACTTAGAACAGAACACAGCACACGGTGTCTCTAGGACCTGGCACAGAGCCTGGCCCACAGGAGGTGACGAGGAAATGCTTGTGAATACGTAACTGGACCTGCCTCTCCCCTGATCAGAAGTTACCAGTGGTTCTCCACGGCCTACAGGATACAGATGAATCTTAGCACAGCATTTAAGGCCTTCCGGGATCTGCCCAAACCTGACCTTCCAGAATCACTCCTACCTTAAGACATCTATCTGCCAATCCTCCAATTGGTTCACCCTGAGACTGCCTGCCACCACCTCTTCTCATCCCCCCTCATTCTGCTCAAACTTTTCTTTTCTCCTCCAAAAGTTCACTTCTGCCCAGAATTTGTTGTTGTTGTTGTTGAGTGCTGTCAAGTCGATTTTCAACACATAGTGACCCCATGACAGAGAACTGAACTGCCCCATAGAGTTTCCTAGGACCGACTCGACGGCACTTAACAACAACAACATTGTGGGAGTGGATTGCCAGATCTTTGTTCCACAGAACAGCTGGGTAGGTTAGAACTGCCAAGCTTTAGGTTAATAGCTGAGCACAAACTGTTGCATTGGCATCCTGGTGTAATGCTGCAGGACAAGCACTGGACTGCTAAACACAGGATTGGCAGTTCAAGCCCAGCCGCTGATCTTCAGAAACCCTAAGTAGGTCACTATGCATAGTAACTGACTCCACGGCACTTAACAACAACAATATGGAGTGTAAGGAACGCTCTGTAGGCTAAACACGGGTCCACTAACTGCAGGATTGGAAGTTCAAACTCAGCTGCTGCTCCTCGGAAACCTACGCAGGGTTCCGATGAGTCAGAGGTGACTGGGAGGCACGTGACACCAACTATAGGCTCCTTCTGTCCAAAGTACCAAAACACACAAAAACACGTCACCACTGAGCCACTTCCGACTCCCAGAGACCCTACAGGGCAGTGTAGAACTAACTAACTACCCCACAAGGTTTCCAAGGCTGTTATCTTCATGGAAGCAGCACATCTTTCTCCTATGAAGCAGTGGGTAGGTCCTAAATGCTGACCTCGGTTAGCTGAGTGCTTAGCTACTGTGGCCCAGAAGTACCCTTCCCTGTTTCCTCATCTGAATCCCACCCTTCCAGGAAGAAAAGCCTTTTCCTCTGTGAGTTTTCCCACCCCCCACCCCCACCCCGGCCATTACCTGGCCTTCCCCTCAGCAGCACCCATGACCTCCACACAGTCATCTGTGGGACAGGAGCATATAGAAGAGTTGAGTCATCCCTGGGTCCACACACAGCGTCACTATTGAGTTTAGCCAGGGCCCAGCGCCAGGGAAAAGGGAGTGGGTACAGGGTCAGGGATGTCCCTAGGCTGTCCCCAAGCTCCTCTCACCACTTGCTCCCTAATCCCCCCTCAACTCCTTCCTCTTGGCCACATTGGAAACTGGTCTTTCAGCTTCTCAGTCTGGCTCCAGCTGGGAGAGGCACACTCAGCAAGATCTTCCTCAAAGGTAAATTTACAGAACAATTAAATCACCACTTGCAGAGTCAGGGGCTGGGCAGACCCCGCCCAGTCCACCTGTCTCCAGGGTCCATCTAGAGTGGACCACCTGGTCCTGCTCAGCAGGGGGCCACTGGGGGGGGGCACCTGGCTCACCAAGCACTAGAGGTGAAGGGTTTGTGGGCTCAGATTGCATTATGGGATAGACCCAGCTCTGCTCAGGGAGCTCCTGGTGCAACGGGTGAGGGAGGCCAGCTGGGGCGACCTGGTGCTATTCCTAAGGGGCTAACACTGTCTCGCAAGAGCCAGTGGGCATGAAAACAAGGTGAAGTCTGAAAGACCTTGAACTTCCAAGTCCCTGAAGGTACCCCTCCTCCACTCAGAACTAGGACAGACCAGAGCCAATTTCACATCCCACAAGGCCCATAGGGGATCTCAAGGTCCCATCTCTGCTATGCTGGCAAGGACACTGAGGCCAAGGACAGGCAGGTCTGTCTGACACTACCCAACCAGTGGGACCACTCAGCTTGCCCCAATCCCCTGGCCTGGTTTCGTCAAGGTGCACATGTGGGTTTCTAGAGTTCCAGCATCCCACCTGGATGCTGAGATCAGGAGATAAGGATATCGCTGCCTGCAATCCAAATCTAGACCACCCCTCTTATCCGGCAGTCTCTGGGGCCATTGTACGTACTGCACAGATGAACAGCATGAAGCCCAGGAAGACAGACTTCAGTCCCGGGTCACGGCTCCTCTCCAAGCACTCTTAGACAGGGACCACCCTGGGGGCCCTCCTGAGAGCTTACCTGACTCCCATATCATGCTGTGCACTGAGCTTTAAGGTCCTTTAGGACATGACCCACCTGCCTTGGTTCATCCTTGGTTCATGTTAGGCAGAGGAGCTAGGCAGCCCACTCACAGACACCAAGAATTCCAGTGGCTCCTAGGTCTGTAAAACGATGCCCAAGCTGACTTATGAACAGAGAAATGCCAACTAGAACTATGGGAGGCCATATGGTTCCATCCAAATTGCGTAGAGCAAAAATATGGATTACAACCTCACAGAGAACACTTTAGCAATAGCTGTCAAAATGAAAAGTATACACACAATCTTTGAACCACTTTGAGGAATTTACCCTGTAGCAATGTTCACAAGTGTCTGAGAGGATGTAGGAACAAGGATAGCCCTTGTAAGGTTGTGTGTCAAACAACCCAGGTGTTCATCAGAATCCAGGGTGAAGAAATAATGAAGAGCCACATAAAAAAGCTCTGCACAGTCACTAGAAGCTGAAAGATGCTCTGCATGGAACTGCCCCCAAGACTGACAGACAAGTGGGAAAACAGGACTGAAGCAGGTATGGTCATAGATTCAAATGTGCACAGAATACCTTGAGAACGAGACATGAGCTGTTGATAAAACTGGGAATGGGAAGTTGGGAGCAGGGTGGGGAGACGTTACCGTACACCTTTTGTACCCTTTGAATGTTGGTGTGCAAATTTTTATTCAAAGAGAAAATTTTTTAAATGTTAACAAGTTTCCTGGAAGGTGAATGCCAGCACCTCTGGGTCCTACAGAGAAAGATGTTGGAGTCCAGGCCTGTTGAGGCTTCAAAGGACCCATCGCTGCAACAAGAATTGGGACAGATCGATTTTGTATGTATGGGGGTGCTCGGGTTTCCATAATCTCTGAGTGCATTGCTGATTTTCACTTCCCCTCCCCACAGTGATAAGGCCTCTGTCTTTAACAGGAGAGAGGTGGGAGGGTGGGATCCCAAGTTCCTTCCCCCCACTCCCCACACAATTTGCAAACTTTAGGACTTAAGCAAATGACTTCCATGTGGTTTGTAGCGCCAACGACTTTGCAGGTGCACAGACTCCTAGGGTGGGGGACTCCAGTCCCTGGGGTGTCCCCCTACACCTGCAGGCCCCACCCAGCTTCTGGCCCACCTGGAGTCCGGCCCATCCTTCTTTGCAACAGGGAGGGACGACTGGGTGTCAGTGACCTCAAGGAAGACTCACTAACAGCCCTGTGAGGTGGTTCTACCTGCTTAGAGATGAGGAAAGCAAGAGATCCAGGATCACACAGCTCTGAAAGGCCAGAGCCAAGCTTCAAATCCCTGTCAATCCAATCCCAGGGGCCGTGCTGGTGGCAACTGAAGGACACCTCATGTCCCCCCTCTCAAGCCAAGGCTGGGTCCTCGAGGCCATAGACAGCACAGAGACATGAAAGGGCAGCTGGCTCTCCTTGCTCCCCTCTACTGGTGATCCCAGAATCTGGACTGTTCCCTGAGCTGAAAGAAGTGCCCTCTGGGGCTCTGAAGGTTCTGGGAGTAAAGCTGGAGTAGCTGCTACCCAGCCAATCCCAACTGCAGCACAGACGCCAACATCAGAGATCTAGAGGCCTCCCTGTAAAGGCAGGAGACCAAAGTCCAGAGAGGACCAGCGCCACCACTTAACTATGTGACTTAACTTCTTAGTGTCTCAGTTACCTCCTCTGTAAAATAGAGATGAAGACAGTCCTTACCTCACAAGGTGGTTTTGAGGAACACATGAAAAGTGCAGAGGACAGTTCCCAGCACATAATAAATGCTCAGTAAATATTGGCTTTTATTATTACTGTTATGGAAGCAAAAGAGAGACAGGAAGCACAGAAATGGCCCCCAAAATTTCCCTCCCACCCCTAAGGTACATGCATGTCTCTGTGAATGCACCCATCATGCCAACATCCTTACCCATCACCCTACATAGTGCCAGTGCCCAGATAAAACAATATGAGGAAGAGCTAGGGGTGGGAACTAAGGGCTCCCTCGGCTCCCCTTCTGGTTGGATGAAGGTCCAGAGAGAAGAAGGATCTTAGTCAGGTCACAAAGTCTTAGTCTGTGTCATTCTAGAGACAAAGTAAGGGATGAGTCCCAGCTTCCTTTGGGAATCAGGACTCCCAAATTGGAGACCAGGGCAAGCCCAGAAGAGGCAATGGGACCCCAGACCTGCCTGCCCTGACCCTCATACCCCATGGTCAGGGCACAGGCCCTGTTCCCTTGCAGCTATAACACGCTCCCTGCCAAGTCACTAATGGGGGATATTAAATAATATTTATCTCACCAGTTCCTCCCACAGCTCAACTAAATATAGCAACTCATTTTTTTAAAAAAGGATTTCTGCTCCAGAAAGATAATATTTACATAAGAGGTGGTTTTCATAAACCAATATGAAACCCTAAGCTCCCTTTCCAACAACTCCTCGTCATTTCTCAGACAGCCTGGAGCAGTGGGAAACTAGGGCCAGAGCATCTTCCCCTCTGTAGGGAAGGGAGGCCAGGCTGACAGGTTGACTGGGAAGGAGAGAGGCTGAGTCAAAGGGGCACATGCCCAGCTTGCACTTTGGGGATGGAGAGGATCTTTCTTTTCTCTCTGGAGCCCCAACATTCTGCTGGCTGTTGTGGGAGTGAGTGAGGTGGATAGCAAATCCTACCTGGAAACAACATGGAGAGGGACCCTACATCTTCCACTCTCACAGGACCACCAAGCCATATGTGGACAGTACCTGGTGGCATTTACTGTGCTTTTTGGACAAAACAGGAATCTCACAAACCCTCAGGGCCAAGGAAGAAATGACACCCTTCCCACACAAACAGCTTGGGAGTTCCCAGACACTCCTGAGGCAGGAGCCACTCTAGGTCACTTCAGCAAGGAAGGAGAGGCTTCCCCAGGCAGCTCCCCGAGGCCTTAAACTTGCTACCCTTAGGGAGGTGAGTCCCTCGCCTCAGCAGTTCAAAGCCCCCAGCAGCTCGGCCAGCCACATCCGCCTGGGGTAGCAGAAAGAGGAAGACCTGGAGTGGGGGTGGGGGCATCCAGGCTACCAGCTAAGAAGCTGCACCTTCAAGGGCGTTTCATTGAACCCCCAGGGGAGACCCTCAGGGCCAGCTGTGAGGCTGAGCCACAAGTCCGCCGCAGGTTCCTGGATGTGCACCTGCACGGTGCGGGTTGGTTGCTGCGCGGCCTGGAGACCCACTGCTGACCGCGGTGGGGGTAGGCTTGCGGGGGAGTACGGAGACGACAGGAAGTTTGAAAGGACCGCGCAGATCCCCGGGCTGGGAGGGAGGGGAGCAGGGAGCGGGGGACAGGCAGGCGTCCGATCTCTCAAACCCACGAAGGTGACAACGCACCCCCGCTGGGTGCCCCAAGAGCAAAAGCATCTTAATAGGTTTCCGGAGCCCTCACTTCCTGCCCGCCCGCTGGGGGGCCTCGAGCTGGTGGAGAAAAGTCCGCCCGCAATAGCGGTGCAAGGGGGTAAACTGAGCCTACGGCTCGCGGGCCCCCGCTGCCCCGCCCGGCCCGCGCTCTCACCATTGGGGCCGTAGCGCTCCCGCGCGCTGGTCACTTGCGCCGGACTCAGGCCGCACTCGGCCGTCACCTCGAAGCGGTGCAGCACGTCGGCAGTCGGAAGCAGGTGCGCCGCCTCCATGCCGCCCGCCCGGCTGTCTGCGCCGTGGGCTCTGTCGAGGCCTCCTCTACGCGCAGCTACAGCGCGGGGCGCCGGGATCTCGGGCCCGGGCGGGCGCCGCGTGAGGCCATGTCCGCAGTGGGACCTTCCCCGACGGCTGTGGCGACAGCTGCCGGGCCGCGTTGCAGGATGCTGCGCCCCGGGCTCCCTCCCCGGGGCGGGGCGGCACGGGGCCCGCCCCCGCACTCACACCCCTTCCGGCCGCCCTCCAAGCCCGCCGTCGTCCCTCCCCCGCAGCACCCTGATCTCAGAGGCCGCCCGCCCGCCCATTCTGCAGAAGAGGGAACTGAGGCCGCTGGCTGGAGAGCGCAGAGCGTGGTGGGGGGCTGGAAACATGTGACCTCAGAGGGACTCAGTGTCTTTATGCAGGATTCTGGGAGCTGTCCGGGGATCCCTAAGGGCGGGCTGCTGAGCACTGCCCTCTGGATTGCCAGTTTAATCTCCATTTGAGTCCTTTTGTCTCCAGGACGTGCACTCTTGGGTCCTGGGAGGTTGCAAAATGAGGATGTTCATAAAAGGGCTCCCTCGTGGAATCGTTGTTGTTGTTGTTAAGTGCCGTCGAGTCAGTTCCGACCCATAGCGACCCTGTACAGGGTTTCCGAGGGTGTAAATCTTTACGGGAGTAGAACGCCTCATCTTTCTCCCACGGAGCGGCTGATAGTTTCGAACCGCTGACCTTAAGGTTCGCAGTCCGATTCGTAACCACTACGCTACCAGTGAAGCCTGTTAAATGAGCGCGTCTCTTCCCAGGAGATTCTTGACGTTTTCTTCATTTGATGTTTGTGCTTTTTTTCCAAATGTCCAGCGATGAGCAGTTATTCCCACATAACCAGATCCTGCAGTCATGAACCAGTATATTTAAAAAGTGAAGAAAACCAGTCTCATTACCTTGGACTCGGGGCTCACCCCAGCAGGAAATGTAACTTCTAGGGGAGTAGTCCTAGAACTGCCAAAGGGAATGGGTAGGAACCTCTAGCCCAGGCCCCCAGGGAGTGTGCTCCTGCCCCCCTTGCTGGGTCACCAGGAGAAGGGGGTACAAGTTTCAGAACAGAAGCCGTGGGGAGACAGGAACCACTCACCTAGGCCACAAGGAGGCACAGAGAGAACAATCTGACCGTGTCCCACTCCAGCTGGAGAGACCCAGCAAGTCTTACCACCCAGTCTCCTTCCCACCCCACCCACAAGCTGGTTTTTGTCTGGAGCTTCAGCCTCTGAGGACTGTCAAGTCCACATGGAATCCTAGATTGCAGGATTGAAGCCATCCAACACACACACACACACACACACACACACACACACACACGTGAAAGCCCAAGCTTTCAACTTTGCATGGGTTGCTGATCTCCACCCAGATCATGTGTGCAGCCCTCACCTTCGCAGGCTTTTTTCCTCCCAGGACACGGTTGGATTGCTCCTTGTTTGTCTTCCCCTCTGGTTGCGGTTCTGAACCTAGAGACGCTCAGTGAGAACTGGCTAGACAGAATGGTCCAGCCCTTTGCTGCTTTCAGTGGGGTCTCCAAGCCTGTTGGAGTGTTGAGGTAGAGGAAAGGAGGTGCTGATTTCCTGACTAGGGCTCCTTCCACCAAGCTATTTCCACCCTGTTCCTTTCTCCCCCACTGCTACCAGCCACAAAGGCAGCCCTACCTGTATCCTTAAGTTGCCAGGGAAAAGATTAGCCAGCTCAAGATTGACGTCAGAGCCCTACGGCACCCCACTAGAGACCACTCTCCCAGAGACATGGACTCCTAAGCATTTTAGTGGCTGGGACCCTAGCCGTCTCCCCCCATACACACACATCCTAAGGTTTGGCTCTTCTTCTGACAACCCCAGACCTCTCCAACGTCACTCCACCCTCAGCTATGAACTGGTATTTGCTAGAAGATAGAACCAGAGTGCTGCCTGTTTGCTCTGGCAGCCTGGCCCACGTTCCCGTTCTCTGGCCCATGTTCCCTTTCTCTAGCCCACCCACCCTGCTTCCAAACTACCCCAGGCAGGGCAAACAGTAGCCAACAGCTCTGGCCCCCATCCTGGCAGGCTCATACACTTGCCAGCATGCCCACCTGCTGGACTGTCCCCCATCACAGCTCCTGGGCACCCCTCCAAGCTCCCACAGGACAACACATAGTTGTTTCATATTAAAATTACTTGCCCAGTTGCCTCTGTTACATTCTCTGACTGCTTCTGGACAAACAGCTGGTGATTGGGTGACATGGTCACAGGCAGGCTGTCCAAAGGGCATTTCTATCCTTCCATCTTCCAGCTGCCATGTAGTAAGAGCTCCCTGCCCGGCGCCTAGTCTCAGCTCTTCCCTACTCACCACAGTGCAGATGGTGGCAGAATTTGCTATCTCTCTGGTAGGGGGAGCCCTGGTGGCACCGTGGGTTAAGTATTGGGCTGCTAACCACTAGGTTGGCAGTTCAAACCCACCTCTGCTCCCCTAAGGAGTTACAGTCTTAGAAATCCTAAGAAGTAGTTCTGTGCTATCTTCTTTTTGCTACGTGTTGTCAAGTCGGTTCCGACTCATATCAGCCCTGTATAGGGCTTCCAAGAGAGACTGGTGGGATTCGAACAGCTAACCTTATGGTTACTAGTCCAGTGCTTATCCTACAGTACCACACCAAGGCTCTGGCCTATAGGGTGATGCAATGGTTAAGCAATTGACTGTTAATGGAAAAATTGACAGTTTGAAGCCACCAGTCACCTGTCAGGAGAAAGATGGGGCAGTTGGCTTTCGTGATGAGTCCGAATTGAGTCCATTGTAGTGGGTTTGGTTGATTTGGGGTTTTTTTTGTTTGTTTGTTTGTTTTCTGGTAGGGGGCATGCCTACCCACCTCACCTCAGGCAATCAGGTGGAACAAGAGAAGATGGGTCTTCCCTGGACGTATTTGCCACCTGGTGAAGAGGATGTTATAGGCAGAAAACCCAGCCTGAGTGGCAGGTGAGAAACCTCAACAGTGTGTTCCTCAACATGGCCGGATCATAAGGTGCAGGAGTGTGAGGATCAGGAGGGTAGAGCAGAGTGGCAGGACTAGGACACAGAAACATTAATTACTCAGGTCTGTGCTTTCTGGAAAAGTTCCCCCTAGAAACTGGTGTTAGGGAGGGATTGAAGGTTGGAGGACCCCACAATCTTCATGAATTAAAAACCTGAAGGATTGGGAGACAGTGGGGCTGCAATGGATAAGCTCTGTAATGCGCTCGATTTGGGGATTTGCACATTCTAGCAAGTGAGGAATCCCAGCTCACTCATTCCCATCAGAGCTTCTGACTTCAGCAGCTGGATGAGGGACCGGTTGAGACCTGAGGTGGAAGTTGAGGTGGGATGGGTCACTTGTTTAGCAACTAGAATTAAATCTGCAATCTTAATTTCTTTTTGCCATGCAAGATAACATATTTATAGATTTCAGAGGTTAAGACATGGACATCTTTGAGGGGACATTATTCAGGCTAGCAGGACCCCTGGTGGTGGTGGTGATGTGCCGTACAGTTGGTTCCAACCCATAGCGACCCTGCATAGGGTTTCTGAGGCTGTAAATCTTTATGGGAGCAGAAAGTCTCATATTTCTCCCGAGGAACAATTGGTAGTTTTGAACTGCTGACCTTGAGATTAGCAGCCCAACTCATAACCACTACGCTACCAGAGCTCCTTGTAAATGATATATAAGTGGGATATGTGAGTAAAGTGCCCCGTGGATCTTTATATCACATTGTCTCTTCAGAGTTTTAGATCTGAGCTAGAACTTATATCCGGAGGGCAGTGGATGCTTACACAGAGTTAACATCAACTCAGTGGGAGAGAAGAGATAAAACCAAGTCCACATGCAGTCAGAAGGTGAGGCAAGAGACTACATGCTCCCTGGGTGGTGCAAACAGTTGAGTTCAATAACCAAAAGTTTAGCGGTTCAAATCCACCCGAGATACCGCAAAAGACAGACCTGAAAGGTCACAACCTTGAAAACGCTAGGGAGCAGTTCTACTCTGCATACGTGGGATTTCCATGAATTGGAATCAACTCAGCAGCAACTAACAGCGACCATGTGGTAGTGGGGTGAGGGCTGCTTGGTGGCCCCCAGACTCCTTAGAGGCTCTACTGTACTTCCGTTCTTGGCTTTCCCAGGATTCCATGGGGCATGATTTCCTGCCTTTGTTGTTGCTGTTATCATTTGAGAAAGCTTCTCTGTGTGTTTTGGTTTTTTTTTGCAACACAAAGGCTGTGCCTAGAAGGAATCAGGCCCAGTTTGGAATTTGGGCTCTACCTCTTACAGACAAAGGCACCTCACCCCTGTAAGCTTCACTTTACTCCTCAGTAATAGTAGGATAAGCTAACAGCTGTAACAGAGCCACCCCACAATGTGTAAACATGGTAAAAGATTATATCTCAATCATGTGAACTCTGAAATGCATGTTCTCTTTGGCCAGGTGGTGTTTCCAAGATTCAGGGTCCTTCTATTTTGAGGCTGTCATCTGCAAGTCTCTGTATGACGTCAATGGAGGGAGAAGGAACACAGAGAATGGTACATGGGAGCCCTTGAAGGATCATATCATTTCCTCTCACATTTACACTGACTAGAATTCAGCCACATGACTATGCTTAACTGAAAGGGAAGGTGGGAAATGTAGTCTAACTATGCTCAGCATGTAGAGGAAATAGGTTTGGTAAATAGCTACACCGTCTCCACTATATTGAAGATAAGAAAAGCCCTACCCCAGGGTTGAAGAGGTGAATGGTATACTTAGCATCCCCCTTCTTTCCTCTGGTTTTCTGTTGGGGAATCTTCTCAGTTTCTGCAGTTCCTATAGAACTGATACCAACCCCTAGATGTAAGGGCAGGCCTATTACTCTATGTAGCCAATGAGGATCCTACAACTCCCTGGCCACGGACTGACTTAGGATGAGTATGTGATCTATGTCAATCAACCAGAGCCATCAACAGAAACTTTGGTTAGAATGGTCAGGAAAATATGCTTTCTCTATTGTTAAGATGGAGTTCTGGTGTGGCGCTGCGGGTTAATGCACAGGACCGCAAGATCGGTTTGAACTGCAAGGTCAGCGGTTCAAACTCACCAGTAGCTCCTCGGA